TACGATAATAAAGCAATAAACACCTTAACGGCCCTTTCACTCAAAAGGCGGAACAATTTTACGGCCTTTCGCTGTTTAAACAATGCACTTCCGGCGACTCTCGTTTCCATTTTTTTTCAGCCAAATTAATAAACTGGAGCCAAATAGGATTAAAAGCATAGCGATCGAGTCATGGCTGAAACGTTTGAATCCAAGTATAATTAAACTTAAAAGAAAAACGACCAAACAATTTGCAATGTTAAATACAAATTAAATTATCTCGGTGTGGCTTGAAAATAATTTTCATTTACATAGCTAATTAAAAAATCATGAACTGCAAGACTAAATTATTTAGTAAGAAACTAAAAGAGAACTTAAAATAAGTATAAACTCAAATTTCCTGAAATAAACTGAATTTTTCGCTTAATTATGACAAATGAGTAATAGTTTATGAAGTTCAGAGCAACTTAATTCACTTTTCAAGGTGGGGTCGCTTTCGTTGGCAGGGGTGCACGCCACTGGGCCCAGCCATGCATGACTTTCGCCGGCCGCTGCCGACCTATTTATTATATATAATACCTCCAGCTAATAATAATAATAATCATCGGAAGGGAATTAAATTAATCACTCGATCGTGTGCTGCTGCGAAGGGCAATATAAAAAAACGCCCCCACCTTTCTGCTACATATACGCATGTGTAATGCAGCGTCTCTCGCGCGTAATTAATAATCAATTTAATGAGGCATGAGTTATGATAACAATAACAGCAATCATCTCGCGTGTAGAATGATAATCGAATTTTATTGCTCAGAGCAGAACAGCTGCGCGTTCGCGGAATTTTCTCTCTCTATTTTTGATTCGCTTCACAGCTTTATTGAGGGCGCATAATCGAGTAACAAACGATTATTGCGCACGCCATCAAATATTATATTCACTCGTCTGGGGGTCGAATGCATATATGTGGCACGCATACAATGAAATAATAATAATAATCGCCGCGTGATTGCTGCAGCGCTGAACGATGAGTTTAAAAAGTTCCTCGGCAAATTGCGTTAATTCAAATGTGCTGTGCTGCCACTTGACGATCTCTCGGCGGAACCATTTGGCCGTGAGTGCGACAACAAATAAAGGGGTGCGTTTTATTTAATATGCAGTCATTTCAATGAGGGAAATATTAAAATTTGAAATGCTCATAATCGATTTGTCAATAGTCGATTGTTCATGTCTGTACGTAGAATAATCAGCATTATTTGGAGTACTTCAAAAGGAAATTACTCAAGATTGCTCAAATGTAAAGCGCAATTTCAAGTGAAAGTGGATGTGATTGTCCAAGAAAAGCATATTGACAGTCATTATTAAAATAGAGCTTGCCATATTAAGGGGCAAATAAGCCTTTGGATTTCCAAACAATTCAATCTTTATGTTTGTAATCAATTGATTCAAATAAAATCCATGCCACATATATTCAAAAATTGGCCTGAAAAAGCTGTTTGCATTCAACATTTTTTTAGAATTATTTTGCGGTTTATGACTTAAATTTATGATTTTTAAAAAGTTTGTTCTGAAATTAAATTAAATTTTCAATAATGTCGAATAAAAAATTTCATTTTACAATATTCTAGCGTAAAAAAATTTGGGATTTTGAAGCTAAATGAATTTAGCGTATTTGACTGACAAAGAATACATCATTCAATTTCAAACTTCTATTTTATATAACTATGATCTTCACTTGGATGAGCACAAATTTGAATATATTTTCTGTCTGAAATAATTCTAGATAATAGATAATTGTAATTAGATACAATATGTCACTGCACTTGAAAGTAATAATTAAATCTAAATTCCAAAGTGATAATGATGAATACATTGTAAATATTTAATGAATCCAAATAATTATTTTATGTTTAAAGTAATAAAATTGACTTATGCATTTAAGTTGGAAACGGCATGGAAAATTTTAAATAAGTATAAATTATCAATAATAATTCTATATTTTATAAAATAAATAAATATACATAATTTTTAAAGCAATTATATTACCACTTGAAAATATTCAAATTTTTTTAAATTTTTATTTTTAATGCTGTTGCTAACAATTCTTTAATTCACACATAACATCTTCCCAATTTTTCATCAGCAGCTCAAGTATGCATGGCAATAAAAGAAACGGGGAATCCAATTTCACTTTTAAACGGCAGCGAACATTTCCGGCTCTGGAAAGAACAGCCAGCGGGAGTCGTGCTCGTTATTAAATTATTAGCCCCGGCCCAGGAGTCACGCGAGCAAGTTAGCAGGGCGGATTTATTGTTTGGTTTTCGGCGGGCGATATTTACGGCGGGCACTTGTCGGTAACGTTGTGTGCATTTTCATTTGTGTTCCGTGTCACCACACTCGGGAGAAAAATTCGCCGTATAAATTCAGTGAACGCGCGCGGACAAATAAATTGAACTATCATCGTGTATCATGTAAAAGCGTAATAACAATCGTGCATAGTGTTCACGTGAGTGCCACCGTCGTGTGTGTGTATTTATATATTCTTGAATGCCGTTATTATCTGAGAGGGCGAATTATTTTTTGATGAACGGCCGCCGAAGCTTTCTGTAGACCATATTTTTGTGCACGGCGTTTCGTGCACTGCAAACCAACTTGGAGGTATTCGTCTTCCTTTCTGAACGAGGAAACCGTCCCACATTATAATACGGACAGTTATGAAAGAGGACTAATTGAATAATGCCTTCCGTTCAGATTTTTTAATGCACAATTTTTTTGTATAAATAAAGACACATACTCACGCAATGGTTTTTAATGATTGTTTTAAAATTTTCCATTTTTACTACAATTACCAAAATTAAACATTTTTAATTTGAAATATATATGGAGCGATATGGAGGATGTTCCTATGCTAAGTTAGCACCAGCAAATCCCATAAGCAAGTTAGCATTCCCCAATATATACAATTAGTCAAGATAAAAAAAAGTTATGGACACAACTAATTATTGTTTGTTCAAAAGCTGGATGGATGTAATGAGGATTATGACATTTATAATGTACTGCATTAATTAAGTGAGATATTTTACTGAAAACATTAGTCATTTCATTGTTTTGGTTTGAGCATTTTCTTTTATTTCAACATCTTAGCTACTGATTTTGATACTGTTAATAAATAAATAACTCAGAATTTATTCAAATCATTTTATATTTTGGAAATGAAGAAGTCCGGCTGTTCCTCGTTGCAAAAATTGTTTTTTATTCAAAAACAAAAGGCTCTTTTGAATAATAATAAAAAAAACCTATTTTTGCAACGAGGAACTTCTTCATTTCCATGATCATCTACTCGAGTGTCAACTTCTGCAAACAAATCGTTTCATTTTATATCGTTCATAATTTCACGTGTGCTTTAATATTCATTTGTATAATGAAAAACACTTTTGAACTGAGTTGTTTCAAAGTTGGAATATTATCGTTCCAAGCAATTAATTATGGATATCAATTGTGAGATGGTCAATAGCGTGAATTTTTTATACGCGAATTTTATAAAATTAGGCAGCGTGTTCTACACTTTTGTTATGCGGGTTGCGTTTCCACAAATATTTAGTGTTAGATTTTGTTGTAAACTTATAAATACTTTTTAAAATCCATTTCTTTTAAGAAAATTGAAATTAAATCTCTCAAAATTCTTCGGTGAGCACCACAAGAATATATTAGTTTTTTTGTGTAAAATCATTTTAAACTTTCCTTTGTCGAAACAGAAAGCAAATTTTCTTGATGCCCTCCTCCACTCTCTTAATTTTTCTTTTTGGGGGAGCTTTGAAAATTTCCACAACAAAAGATGCGGTGTGAATTGGCCGTGTCGGGGGCCAAGGAAATATTCGCGTCCGAAATGCAATCAAAAAGTTTGGTCGGCCGCAACGAGGCGCAATTTATGGCTCCCCAGAGTGGCGGCGGCAGCGTCAACGCAGCCAGATCTCTGCTTCTTTCGCAACAATGAACCAATAAGCGGGCGCGGCGAAAGAAGAGGCCACGAGGTCTGCCTTGTTAACTCCAATTCAAGTCGTGAAAATTTGATTTGTCGGCAGTGGCGGGAGCGCCGAGCAGAAAAGCTGCAAAGATGGCGGCCGCCTGCTTTTCCGTCCACACGTACGCAGACCAGTTTTGCACCCCGGCATTTCAATTTCGAGCCCCTTTTGTCGCCACATCAGGCGCGAACACACAAAGAGAAAAAGAAGAAAAACGCCGGAATAAGAATGGCGCGCCAAATTGATTCAATCTCGCGCTTTCTTCCTCATACACACTCGACTTTTCCGCCCTTTCGCGACCTGTCACGCCTGCTTTTTCCCAATTTCCGCCGCGACAAACGCAGCTCTTGAATAAATATGAGTTTTCTTGGGAACGAACATGTGTCAATAAATACATGAAAATAAATCGAAACCGGAATGCTTTTAGAGCGAGTTGTGAGCGAGCGCGAGGTTTAATTCGACCCTCGTTAGGCCAATTAAACCGAAAGTGTGCAACTTTGCGAGCGCTCAAGCTCTCGTAGTCTCGTAGTAGAGCAATAATTAAGGAGCAATTAGTGCAAGGGGCGCTGTGGAAATTTCACCGCCGCGTGTGATTCGATTAGGCGTGCACGCTCTCGTCACGAGATGTGCGCCTGCGAACGGCAGTCGGTGCCAAAAAGCTGCGAGGCCAGTTCGTGATGTTTATACATACAAAGGGTGCGATCAAAACGCAACCCCTTTTGTGTTTTGAAATTTTACCTAAAGATTTATTTAATTTAATTAATTTGCATAGACAATTGAGTGTAAAAATGGTTACGCACTATCAGTCTATAATTATTTATTTTTGCAATTATAATCCTAATGGCATATTTTAATTTTGTAATAATAATCTTTGCTTAATTTAATATGTTTTTTATTGTGATTTTAGTCATTTCCCAATTTTTCAAACTGCTAAAATTTAAAAATTATATGTTTAACCAAAATTTTGAATATTATTTAAATTGAATTTTGCCATTTCTGACTTACCTGGACTCTCACTTCCGGCAAGTTGACTTTCATTGCGAGCTCCTCCCTGCTGTAGACGTCAGGGTAGTGCGATTTCTCGAAGGCCCTCTCCAGTTCGTGCAGCTGATAGGTGGTGAAGGTGGTGCGGTTGCGGCGGTGCTTTTTCTTCGGTTCCCCGCTGTCCGGCGACAAAGGTCCTCCAGGTAGTGACCCTCCTGCTCCCGGAGTGCCCGCCCGACCTGAAGCCGGACTCGTCGCTCGGCTCTCGTCATCCTCGTCGTCGCTGCTGCGCGTCCCGTGGTCGCCCAGCAGCCGGCCGACGCCACCACCGTCCTCAGAGTTGCTCGTTTCACCTTTAAACACAAAATATTCTTACTTAACAAAGATTCATATTTTAATATTTATACAAACATTAAATTATAATTTATTTTTAGTTTTATTAGTAGTGATTTGTAAATTTTAAATGTTTAAATCAATTTATTTTCAATAAAATTTATGTTTGAACATAATTACAATGATATTGCAGCCTAAAAATATTGATAATTAACAATATATTTTGTTATATTTATAATTAATTGTAAGTGTAGTACTCAAGACTGATGTTAAATTTAAATTGTAAAAGTAACATAGCATGGCGTCTTTTTCCCATTGATACAGTTGTTCATAAAGTTCATCATATTCATATAGTTGTAAAATGCATTCGTAAAATTATTGCCATCAAATGATAATAAAATAGATATTTGTGCGTGACTAAGTTTCAAATGTGCCAGACAGAATGCATTAAACGCACCCTTCGTGCGTAGTAAATTAACTGCACCGTGAAATAAAAAAACAAAATGCATTTGCGCACGAGTGACAAAACTTGCGTTTTTCTCCTGACGTTTCTATTAGTGTCTAATTTACAACAGGAAGCGCTGCGTCGGAAATTTACATAAAACGCGATCGCAGACGAATGTAAACAAGGAAGTTTTTTGGTGCTATAGTTGGAGAGTTGGTTTTGCTGCTGGAATGATTCAGAGTGCTGCGACATGACAAGTCTATCGCCGATAATCGGATCACCCGTCGAAATCCGCTCTCAAGGATTTTCATTCCAGAGAGACACGCATGTGTATTTCTTTCCAACTCTCTTCGGCGTTTCTCCACTTAAGTGAGTTTTATCAACATCATTTACAAGACAAGCTTGTGAGAGAGGAGAAAAATTTATATATAAAGTGGCTTAGCCGAGAAAAACAAGTGATTCTACAACATCATTAGCTGCCGGCGCGTTATAATAATAAGCAGGCAGATATAGAGAAGAATATATTTTTCGACTTAATTGGCGCTGAGCATGCTATTAAGAGCGCGGGCGAGGCCAAGCGAGAAATTAATCTCATCTCTTGCGTATAGGGAAAAGGTGCAGCCAAAGTCAGAGCAACGCCTGCGATTCAAAAAATGCCACTATGATTTATCATTTTTAATTTTATTTTTTGTAATCATGTTAATGAAATGCAACTTCTGTTATAATAAAAAAAATCTATGAGGGTGATTTCAATGTCGTTATAATAATACAACAAATAAAAAAATTTCCAAATAAAGAGTTGGTTTTTCCATTTTTTTTTTTTTTTTTTTCAATTTTGCGTATCTCTCAATGCAATTAAAGTTTCTTAATAATCAACCAAATGTTATTTAGGTTATTTAATTAATTAAATAAAAAAAACCGTATCTAAAGTGCATAACTTTTAAAATGTTAATATAAAACTTAATTTGGCAAAGGGCGCTTAGTTTGCATTAGCATAAATTCGCTTGCTCACGACTGAAGAGGGCAGATGTCGACGACAAGAAAGCGCGCAAAAAATAATTATCGATTGTTTGGCGTGCACTAATTACACGCGGGGCAAAGTAGGCGTGAACGCGCGCCGCGTGCATAGCGTGAGATGTCAGTCAGTCTCGTTCTACTAGGTTCGCTCTCGCCGGCAATAAAACTGACAAGATTGCTGCTGTTTATTACTGAACCGCCGCCGCCGCCGCGGGTCGGACGGACGAGATGAGAGTTTTTATTAGCGGGCTCTAATTACCTCGCTCGACTCTTCCCTTCTACTATATCTAACGTGCACATACACAGCCGTAGTCCTGGCTGGGTAAACTAATAGACCGTCACACGTCAGATAAAAAGCAGTGGCTCTCCGGAAAGGAGTGGAGAAAGAAAACGCGGAAAAGGCCGACCGAGGGAAATAAAATAAGAGCTATAGACGCCAAGGTAAAAAGAACTTGCATGAAAAGGGGTGAAAGCAAGCCGGATTAAATTTACAGTGGTGGTGAGAAAGCAATTATTTTTAGTTCTCTATATACATATACAGAAAGGAGAGAAATACATTTTGACCATCACTATGGAACTGATAAAAATTCCACTGTTTTATTCCATTGTAAAAAATTCTAAACAGTTGTGAGTGTAATTAAAATGTAAAAATTTGTAAATCTCATAACTTAAATTTGAGAGGTTAAAATTTGCATCCTGTTTTAACCCAATATTTTGGCGAGAAAGTTCAAAATAAATAAAAGTAAAAATTTAAATTTACAATGCGTGTTCATCTCATAAAAAAATGTGTCATATTGCAATATGTGAAATCCAGAGTGCAAGCTTTAAATTAATATCAGCCTGAAAATAAAATTTTGTAAAAATTAATTTAAAAATTAAAATTTCTTCAATAGAAAACCAGCACTTATTGGGAACTTGTTGACGTTGGGGTTACTTGAATTCTCAATGACAATCAATAATAGATCAACCCTTCCTTTTAAAAGCTCTTCAGGTTTGATCAAATCTATATTGCGGGTCTTTTTGAAAATAGAGAGACCTCTTGAGACACTCTTGTGCGGAGAAAGGAAAATTCACACAGAGGCGGCAGGTGATTTGAACGGAAAACACAATTGTGTGCTTTCGAAGGGGCTGCCGGTGAAGCAAATATTGTGCCGAAAGAGTTTTCCGCCTGATTAGTTCGTCGAGAGCTGGCAACGTCAAAATCGGCGCGAGTTTTCCTTCTTACACCCCTCTGAATGCCGCGTGCAGTTTGTATAAACCCAACATAAACGTACATTCAAGTTGGACTTTTCAAAGGGTGGTTAGAACCGAACTCTATACTTTAGCACCGTTTATTGCTTTATCAGCGATGAAATTATGGGTTATTGGCGCTTGATTTTCGGTCGGTGGAAATCTGCACGACAGGCATTAGTAATTATCCGCCGGTCGTCAATTAGGAAAGACTGCTACATGCATATAAAAAAGCCATATTATGACGATAATGAAGCACCAATAAATTAACTTTGTTATCGTTGGAAATTATTTGTTGCGTGAGAGAAATCTCAAATAATTTATAATTATATTAAAAGAGGTTCATGTTTTTTTTTTTAACACGGTTGGAACTTGGTACTGTCTTTAATTAATTTCATTTGTATAGAAAATCATTCAAGATAGGTGTTAAATTAATTAAATTTACGCTCATGAGTGCCGTTAATTCATATAAAAAGGAGCAGGTAGTTAATAGGTGATTAAACGGCCTGATTATCACCTGTGAAATAATGTTTGGCAGGTTAAAGGTTAACCCAAAATTCGCTCCGGGAGAGATTGAAACTAAAAAGGCGCGGCGCTGAGAAGATTTTTCATGCCAACGGTCTTGAACTATAAAAATGCGCTCAGCATCACAGATCTCGATTAATTTTTAATTAGAGCTCGGCGTGATATTTTTTGCTGCACACTAAAAAGAAAAGGGTTTGCGATGATGTTGAAAAGATGAATTAACCTAAACCTACAAATACTAATTAGCGCGGTGCAAATTAAATATAAGACAGGCCACACCTGTGCACCGTCTGAATTCCTCAGCCGCATATTAATTACTCTCGAGGTGAGATTGTTTTTTGCGCGTAATCACCTGGCAATTGTTTTCTGTTGCCTCGCGCGTGGGCTAATTGGACGCATTCAGCATTATTTTAATCACGCCGCGATTAAATCTCTCTTCAGAGAGAGATGCGTGGTGCATGCGTCATTAATTAACCCTTCACACGTATATACGCAATTAAGCTGCGGGGAGAGCGAGCCAGACTGAATAGAAGGCTAATTCGTTGTTTTTCTTGGCTAATTCCCTGTCAGTGCCGATGATTTTGACTGATGGGCCCAGATCAACTCTTTTCACACCCCGCATACGCCCACCTCAAACTCATGCACACCGCCTGCGCCAAATCCCACGGACCGAGAGAGCAGCAAAATATTTTCGTTCTGACCCGAGAAAGGAGATTCTGCATGGGAAGGAGATAACTGCACTGCTTGTGATTAATCGATTTTTATACCTAAGAAAATCTAAAAATCAGCTATTTAATCAAATATTTATAAGCATAGCCTGTATAACGAAATATGTGAGCTCAATTATACTATGTAAAACAAAATTGAAACCGATTGAAAATTGAAATTAAAAAATATTAGAGACCGTGAAAAAGGCTTAAAACGTAACGAACTGTTGCACCAGATTTCACTAATTTGAACACGCGAAATGTGTGTTTAATTTGAAATATTTTGTGTAGAATTGATAAAAAGAAATTACAGCAAATAAATAATGTATTACTTCCAATAATTAGTATGTAATACGGAATCTTTTTACACTTAATTTTGGCATTATAAGCAGCAACATAAAAAAGTTTAGAGTATGCATAATTCTTTAAATAAACTTATAAGACATTTTATAAAATTTATTTTAAAATGTATACTCAATGAAAATGATGTAAATGTTAAAAGAATTTTAATATCATAAAATTAAATGTTCCATTTTTTTCTTTTTTAAAAATTAAAAAGAAAATTAAACAAGATTTTTTTATTAAGGAATGTATAAAAAGCTATATATAGTTAGTCTGGTAGAATGAGAGCAGTAAAAAATCACTAAGATCATAAATTTCAATCTGAAAACAAGGCGTCTGCAGGAGATGCAACAATTATAAAGTAATTATCGCCACGGCGCCGCGAGAGCCTAATTTTTTTCGTCGGCGCGCTCTCGTTAAGATGATGAACTGCCCTGTGCTCTCGCTTCATGTGAGATGCACGACGAGTGCTGTGTATAAATTCCTCGATCTGCTTACGGCGCAAATGATGCGTTGAATCCATCAAACTTCTTGTATGTAATCCGCGGCTGAATTATTATTAACGAACACCGCGAGTGGGAAGATGAGAAACACGTTATCGCGCCGCGCGGCCTCTTTGTCACGTGGTCATTAAGCAGCCTTTTAGAAAATATAAATCTCCGAATGCTAAACGCTGGCCGTCATAAACGAGCTGCTTATTAATCAACTCAAATAAGAAGCTTCAATTTGAGTATTAACTGTAAATTGATGAAAT